CCCCGAGGACTCCCCAAGCAGCCGGTGCCAGGCCAGGAGGGGAAGCCACGGAGGCGCCCCCGCCGGCCAGGCGCACTGGCTGGGGCATCTGGGGGTGGGTGGGGGGAATCCTCCGGCCTCCCTGCCTGCAGGCGGCAGGAGGGGAGAAGTGGACACCTGGCTCTCCCTAAGTGGCCAAAATGGCAGAGCCGCCGCCATGTTGGACGCCTGTTCAGTGTGGTCAGCGCCCCTGCATGAGCTCTTGTCTTCTAGTTTGTCCAGCTTCTGGCAGGTTTCTGTCTTCAGTTTTCTAGATTCTACCCCTCTAAATGATTTTTACTGGTTTGTTTCTTCTGTTATGTGAATTTCTCATTTCTTGGCTTCTTTTCCATGTGTCCCTGTGTCCTGGGATCCTCAGGAAAATAAGGAAGAATGGTTTTCCTTATATTCAATATTGCTCTCAAGTTTTCAAGCCCATGAATGCCCCTGTATCTGATAATCAAGAAGACATCCAAGTATGCTGCATAAAGCTCACTACTATTGGGTTTGGAAGCTCCCACTGATTCCATAGCCTTTAGTAGCTATTTCTGTGTTCACACCCAGAATAACATTCTTCCTTCTGATATCCTTCAGATGCCCCACCTGTTATGACTGCCTGCCAAAGCCAGGAATAAGGTGCATACTTCTCGGCACATAGCCCTCCCTTGCCAACACTGATTCTCCCTACACCCTACTTTTGGAGAGCTTCTGAGTTAACTGCTGCCTTTTCCCATCTCCTTCCTGCTTGGGGCTATGTGCCCTGTTTAGTGTTTGTCTAGGTCTCAGGTAGAAAGTCTCATGGTCTAGGACCCTCTACTGCTTTCTTATTTTTTTGTTGTTTTTGTTTGTGTGTGCGTGTGTGTTTCTGTCTATCTATCTCCCAGATGTATGCACAAAACTGTTCTTTGTCCCCCTTCATTTCACATTTCTGAAGGTTCTGAAGTGCTGCCAAATTGTCTTAAATGGGAAGAGCCTTTTGGATCTAAGCAGGCTTCTTTGCCAAGTCCCAGACAGTAGCGTCTAGATCCATGAGTTCTCATAAGTCCCCAGCCTAAGGCCATGAGTTGGTGTTCTCAATTTGCTCCTTTGGCCTGAGTTAAGGCTGGGGTGTAGCTGGACCACAGCACTTTGGTCCTACCATGTGTGAGTGCCAGAATAGAAACCTACCTTTCCTCATATCAGAGGCCTTCCACACCTAATACACAGAGAGGCTAGAAGCCTAGTGTCTTCATGTTATGGTTTAGATATTAGGTGTCCCGCAAAAGCTCCTGCATAAGACAATATAAGAAGGCTTAGAGATGAAATGCTTGGGTTATGAGAGTCTTAATCCAATCAATGAATTAAACCCCTGATAGGGCTTAACTGAGTGGTAACTATAAGCGAGGTAGGGTGTGTCTGGAAGGTATATATCTTTTGTATCTGGTGAGTGGAGTGTATATCTATATCTATATATATATCTATATATAGATAGATAGATAGATAGATCCATTTATCTATCTCTATCTCTCTCTTCTCTCTCTCTTCTCTCTCTCTCTTTCTCTCTCTCTCTCTCATCATGTGAGCTACTTCCCTCCACCACACTATTCCGCCATGATGTTCTGCCTCACCTTGAGCCCCAAGGATGGAACTAGCTAATACTAATACCTCTGAAACCATGAGCCCCCAAAAAAGTTTTTCCTCTAAAATTGTTCTTATCAGGTCTTTTAGTCACAACAGCAAAAAAAAAAAAAAAAAAAAAAAAAAAAAAAAAAAAAAAAAAAAA